ACGCTGCCCATTTGTTTACGCCTCCGCCGGGGGTCGAACCCGGAATCTTAGGACTACGAATCCCGAGCGCTGTCCACTCAGCCGTTAGGCCCCCGTTAGTTAATAGATGGAATGCATTAGGCAGTGATGTGGTGGAGGCAGACTCCATTCACAGTTTCAAGTGTAGATATGATAGAGCCCAGTAGGCTCAGGAATCTGTACACCTGTTGATTGACAGTTGAGAGGCGGGACCAAAGAGCCAAAGCTCAACCCCCGCAAACACAACTAGGTGAGTACACACAGCGCATCTCGTGATTGACGTGGAGTTGCCACGTGCTCAAGCCTCCACTCACCAATTAATGGAAATCAATATTGACACCCAGCTGGTGCCACACTCACTCACCAAGCTGGTGCCACACCCACTCACCAAGCTGGTGCCACACCCACTCACCAAGCTGGTGCCACACCCACTCACCAAGCTGGTGCCACACTCACTCACCCAGCTGGTGCCACACCCACTCACCAAGCTGGTGCCACACCCACTCACCAAGCTGGTGCCACACCCACTCACCAAGCTGGTGCCACACTCACTCACCCAGCTGGTGCCACACCCACTCACCCAGCTGGTGCCACACCCACTCACCAAGCTGGTGCCACACCCACTCACCAAGCCAGTGCCACACCCACTCACCCAGCTGGTGCCACACCCACTCACCCAGCTGGTGCCACACTCACTCACCCAGCTGGTGCCACACCCACTCACCCAGCTGGTGCTACACCCACTCACCCAGCTGGTGCCACACTCACTCACCCAGCTGGTGCCACACCCACTCACCAAGCCAGTGCCATACCCACTCACCAAGCTGGTGCCACACCCACTCACCAAGCCAGTGCCACACCCACTCACCAAGCCAGTGCCACACCCACTCACCAAGCCAGTGCCACACCCACTCACCAAGCCAGTGCCACACCCACTCACCAAGCCAGTGCCACACCCATGCTAGACGGCTTCGCTCCTCGTTGATAAAAGAAGCAAAATGCGTTATAGTAAGAGGCTCCAATCCAGTAGTCGGTGTGATCAAACACCATATAATACACCGGAAAATATGACATTTATAATAACATAAAAGTTGCTAAAATCATTTTGATGGGTCTTTCAGTATTAGGGTAATACAAGACACTCCCTACCTGTAAACAAATCCACAAGGGCCGTGACGAGGGTTCGAACCTACGTCCGAGAGTATCCCAGACGCTGCCTCAATCGATCAGCCCGTCCTCCAAACAAAGATCCAAAAGTGATTCCATGCACCCGCCAAACCCCCTGTTTATGAATGAAAAGCGGTTTACACGACGACTCACAACTGCTGACGTTCGAACATATCCGGAACAAGTGCTTCACTGACGAATTTTGTTCGAATCACAACACTATAAATGCTTCACCCACGTACTACAAATACAAATAATCGCCAACAGAACCTAAACACCTAACCTAACCTATCCTATGCCTATTTATACACAATATGCTAATATATTATAATATTAATTTATACTTGAGAAAATCCCCGTTTAGAATGAACAGCATGTTAAAATTTATGAATGCGTCTGTGGGGTCGACCGCTGAATGTAATGGACTTAAGTCGAGGACGGGTTGTAATCGATTGCGCTACGAACTGTTCACTTGATACATCACGCTATTGTAATTTCTGTGTGTAACTCCCTACCTGCCTTCCCGTATGATCTGGACTTGTGGGGTTCACCTGGAAGCCTCCCCCAGCGACCCCACAGTACCAGTGGCTGGTCACTGGGACCCAAAAACCGCCCGCAGGATGGGTATGGGGCCCACTACCACCTACAGGACGGGTATGAGGCCTACTACTATCCACAGGATGGGTATGGGGCCCTCTACCGCCCCACAGGATGGGTATGGGGCCCACTACCACCTACAGGATGGGTATGAGGCCTACTACTATCCACAGGATGGGTATGGGGCCCTCTACCGCCCCACAGGATGGGTATGGGTCCACTAACGCCTACAGGATGCGTATGGGGCCCACTACCGCCCACAGGATGGGTATGGGACCCACTACCGCCTATAGGATGGGTATGAGACCCACTACCGCCTACAGGATGGGTATGGGGCCCACTACCGCCCACAGGATGGGTATGGGACCCACTACCGCCTATAGGATGGGTATGAGACCCACTACCGCCTATAGGATGGGTATGGGACCCACTACCGCCTATAGGATGGGTATGGGACCCACTACCGCCTACAGGATTGGTATGGGGCCCACTACCGCCCACAGGATGGGTATGGGACCCACTACCGCCCACAGGATGGGTATGGGACCCACTACCGCCCACAGGATGGGTATGGGACCCACTACCGCCCACAGGATGGGTATGGGACCCACTACCGCCCACAGGATGGGTATGGGGGCACACTAAACAAACTAAACAGCTGTACAGAGACCAGCGGGGAGCAGGAGGAGCCGTCCAGGGATCCGTGACAGGACGGCGTACGGTACTCATCGAAGTCGAAACGAAGATGGAGACGAGGAACACAGGAGTGGGAGTGTCTTGTGAGAGGGAGAATGAACCGTCATTGAGGTGTGAGGCGACTGAGAAGCTGGTGAATGGGCGGGCTGAAGGGTGAGGGCGATTGGGAAGGGGGAGAGTGTTCGGGGAGGTCAGGGTGTTCGATTCTGAGAAAGCGAACGGCATAAGAAGAGGAAACGGGTATTGTCGGCTCTAATTCTCTAAGTATGATATGAATGGATAAGAGGCCTGCTTAACGGGTGGCCAGGAGAGAGAGGGAGAGAGAGATTGACTAGCATCCTGTTATCCTGTTTGCCCATCAGGTCAACCGAGCACATTAAGGCTTTGGCACAAACTTGGGGCCAGATTCACTTGGACGGTCGGGGGACTGACAGCGAGACCGTCGCTCTACCGTCCACCACAAGTGTACCGGATACGGAAGAATAACTAGCCATCTTGGCCACACTGATCGCCGCTATTCACTCAGTAAAGCGTTTAACGGCTCGTGTGTTGTGTAAAACACTTTGGGCGAGATGAACCGCGACAGACAGAGACACAAGAGCCTGCAGACACGAGGCAGGAAACCTTCCACCAGCTGTGCCTCTTATCTCTAAAGTCAGAAAACCTTCCACCAGCTGTGCCTCTTATCTCTAAAGTCAGAAAACCTTCCACCAGCTGTTCCTCTTATCTCTAAAGTCAGAAAACCTTCCACCAGCTGTGGCTCTTATCTCTAAAGTCAGTAAACCTTCCACCAGCTGTTCCTCTTATCTCTAAAGTCAGAAAACCTTCCACCAGCTGTTCCTCTTATCTCTAAAGTCAGAAAACCTTCCACCAGCTGTTCCTCTTATCTCTAAAGTCAGAAAACCTTCCACCAGCTGTTCCTCTTATCTCTAAAGTCAGAAAACCTTCCACCAGCTGTTCCTCTTGCCTCTAGAGTCAGAAAAATAAAGAGATTTCGGTAGCACAGTGGCTATACGTTCTCGACTCACAATTCAGGATCTCTGGCTCGATACCCTAGCGGAACAGAAATGACTGGGCACGTTTCCTGTCACCCGATGCTTCTGTTCACCCTAGCAGTAAATAGGTACCCAGAATTTGGCAACCATTACATGTCACTTCCGGAGGAGGGTCAGTAGTTCGACATTTGAGGAGACCTCGATACAAGCTTAAATTATACATAATTAGTAACTAATTGTTACTGATTATACCGCATACGATCAATTCTTAAGTGCCTTGATCAGCTAATCAGACGATAACATAGAGGCATCATCGATGCCTGCCATCAGTGCCGAGCAGATCTGAACAGCCACCCAGAGTGGAACGATACAAGGGCGGCCCATCAGTACAAGACTGTACTCAAGGAGTACAACTACTCCCAGAACATGTACATCAGTGGCAGACGACCATGGGTCAGCCACGACCCTCCCAGACCTCACCTGTCAGACACGACCTTCCCTGACCTCACCTGTCAGACACGACCCTCCCAGACCTCACCTGTCAAGCATAAGAACATACAAATGAAGATAAATGCAGAAGACCTATTGGACCATACGAGGCAGCTCCTATTGAACCATACGAGGCAGCTCCTATTGAACCATACGAGGCAGCTCCTATTGAACAATACGAGGCAGCTCCTATTGGACCATACGAGGCAGCTCCTATTGGACCATACGAGGCAGCTCCTATTGGACCATACAAGGCAGCTCCTATTGGACCATACGAGGCAGCTCCTATTGAACCATACGAGGCAGCTCCTATTGGACCATACGAGGCAGCTCCTATTGGACCATACGAGGCAGCTCCTATTGGACCATACGAGGCAGCTCCTATTGGACCATACGAGGCAGCTCCTATTGGACCATACGAGGCAGCTCCTATTGGACCATACGAGGCAGCTCCTATTGAACCATACGAGGCAGCTCCTATTGAACCATACGAGGCAGCTCCTATTGGACCATACGAGGCAGCTCCTATTGGACCATACGAGGGAGCTCCTATTGGACCATACGAGGCAGCTCCTATTGGACCATACGAGGCAGCTCCTATTGAACCATACGAGGCAGCTCCTATTGGACCATACGAGGCAGCTCCTATTGGACCATACGAGGCAGCTCCTATTGGACCATACGAGGCAGCTCCTATTGAACCATACGAGGGAGCTCCTATTGGTCCATACGAGGCAGCTCCTATTGGACCATACGAGGCAGCTCCTATTGGACCATACGAGGCAGCTCCTATTGGACCATACGAGGCAGCTCCTATTGGACCATACGAGGCAGCTCCTATCTATATCCACCCACTAACATTCATATAGGTCTCGCTGATAACACGAGCAGCATAAAAGGGAGATTTAGTGTTTCTGTGTTTAATGATAAGTATTATGAGTAAACAATATTAAAATAATGATTTATCTTGATGAACGATGTCGAATATAACAATTGACATTGCTAATAATAACCTTGATTAAGTACTGATGATTGATGATGATTGATGATGATGATGATGATGAGGAAGACCAGCCAAGTGCTATGAAGGAGCGTCAGTTGGCTGGGTCATCATAATACGTCAGCGCAGCCCCTTCCGGTAACCTCCCCATCCCTTCCCCACCCACGAACCCCCCCTCTTCCACCCCGTCCCACCAGCCTCCACCCCGTCCCACCTCTCCCCCGACCCACTAACACCCATTACGCAACAGTCCAAGATGAGAGGCCAAGTTTTAAATGAAACAGCTCGCCTTTCTTGTAGTTATTAAGGCGATACATCACTGGGCCTCGCGGCCGGGCAGGCGCTAATGTTATTTGTGGACGGGGCTCACAACCCCACAAATTTGGACCTCACCTTTCTCGTCTTGGGGGTTTAGGGCCCCGACACAAAGCCAGCCCAAGCACACGTGCAACACTCAGAAAGCAATTGGGATAGACATAAACAGATTTTTAAAAGCAAAATTCTTATATATACACGACAATTATATGTGCATTTTTGGTGCCGGAGCCACAGAAAACGGGTCATGCTTGTGTAAACCTTCGCTGTAGGTCAGGTTAGGTTACATTGGGTTAGATTGGCTTGGGTTGGGTTAGATTGGGTTGGGTTGGGTTAGATTGGGTTGGGTTGGGTTAGATTGGGTTGGGTTGGGTTGGGTTGGGTTGGGTTAGGTTGTTAGGACCAAACCACATATACTTCGCGGCGCCATGCATCCAACTGATATCCACTCTATCGTATTATATTATGTGTTGATATATATAGTACCTTGTTAATATCTCCCTTGTTATACCCACTCATTCGCTTCCGAAGCCTCACAACATTACAGTTATCAGCATAAACTGTATCTGATATAGATAGTGGATCAGGGGATAAGGATGAAGGTATAGGATCAGGTGGTAAGGATGAAGGTAGTGGATCAGGGGGTAAGGATGAAGGTAGTGGATCAGGGGGTAAGGAGGAAGATAGTGGATCGGGGAGTAAGGATGAAGATAGTGGATCAGGGGGTAAGGATGAAGATAGTGGATCAGGGGGTAAGGATGAAGATAGTGGATCAGGGGGTAAGGATGAAGATAGTGGATCAGGGGGTAAGGATGAAGGTATAGGATCAGGGGGTAAGGATGAAGGTAGTGGATCAGGGGTAAGGATGAAGGCATAGGATCAGGGGGTAAGGATGAAGATAGTGGATCAGGAGGTAAGGATGAAGGTATAGGATCAGGGGGTAAGGATGAAGGTAGTGGATCAGGGGGTAAGGATGAAGATCGTGGATCAGGGGGTAAGGATGAAGATAGTGGATCAGGGGTAAGGATGAAAATAGTGGATCAGGAGGTAAGGATGAAAATAGTGGATCAGGAGGTAAGGATGAAGATAGTGGATCAGGGGGTAAGGATGAAGATAGTGGATCAGGGGGTAAGGATGAAGGTAGTGGATCAGGAGGTAAGGATAAAGATAGTGGATCAGGGGGTAAGGATGAAGATAGTGGATCAGGGGGTAAGGATGAAGATAGTGGATCAGGGGGTAAGGATGAAGATAGTGGATCAGGGGGTAAGGATGAAGGTAGTGGATCAGGGGGTAAGGATGAAGATAGTGGATCAGGGGGTAAGGATGAAGATAGTGGATCAGGGGGTAAGGATGAAGATAGTGGATCAGGGGGTAAGGATGAAAATAGTGGATCAGGAGGTAAGGATGAAGATAGTGGATCAGGAGGTAAGGATGAAGATAGTGGATCAGGGGGTGAGGATGAAGATAGTGGATCAGGGGGTAAGAATCAAGATAGTGGATCAGGGGGTAAGGATGAAGATAGTGGATCAGGGGGTAAGGATGAAGATAGTGAATCAGGAGGTAAGGATGAAGATAGTGGATCAGGGGGTAAGGATGAAGGTAGTGGATCAGGAGGTAAGGATAAAGATAGTGGATCAGGGGGTAAGGATGAAGATAGTGGATCAGGGGGTAAGGATGAAGATAGTGGATCAGGGGGTAAGGATGAAGATAGTGGATCAAGAGGGGGGGGGGAGTAAGTCAACACAATCATGGTAATGAACAAAGAGGAGACAAAAATCCCTCTTGAATTATTTGGCTTCCATTAGCGTCCAGTCAGAGGCCGTGAGGCTCCCGGTCTCCTCAACCAGTCATCCTCATCCACCGTCATCCTCATCATCCGTCATCCTCATCCACCGTCATCCTCATCATCCGTCATGGTCATCCACCGTCATCGTCATCCACCGTCATCCTCATCATCCGTCATCCTCATCCACCGGCATCGTCATCCACCATCATGGTCATCCAACGCCATCGTCATCCACCATCATCGTCATCCACCCTCATCCTCATCCACCGTCATTGAACTTCATCCTTATGTCGTTGTCACAAATGCCGTAGAAGCATGACGTTGTAGTCCGTCGTCTAGAGTCGTGTGACGTCGGGCGTCGTCTAGAGAAGTGTGACGTCGGGCGTCGTCTAGAGTCGTGTGACGTCGGGCGTCGTCTAGAGTAGTGTGACGTCGGGCGTCGTCTAGAGTAGTGTGACGTCGTGCGTCGTCTAGAGTAGTGTGACGTCGGGCGTCGTCTAGAGTAGTGTGACGTCGGGCGTCGTCTAGAGTAGTGTGACGTCGGGCGTCGTCTAGAGTAGTGTGACGTCGTGCGTCGTCTAGAGTAGTGTGACGTTGTGCGTCGTCTAGAGTAGTGTGACGTCGGGCGTCGTCTAGAGTAGTGTGACGTCGGGCGTCGTCTAGAGTAGTGTGACGTCGGGCGTCGTCTAGAGTAGTGTGACGTCGTGCGTCGTCTAGAGTAGTGTGACGTTGTGCGTCGTCTAGAGTAGTGTGACGTCGGGCGTCGTCTAGAGTAGTGTGACGTCGGGCGTCGTCTAGAGTAGTGTGACGTCGTGCGTCGTCTAGAGTAGTGTGACGTCGTGCGTCGTCTAGAGTAGTGTGACGTTGTGCGTCGTCTAGAGTAGTGTGACGTCGGGCGTCGTCTAGAGTAGTGTGACGTCGGGCGTCGTCTAGAGTAGTGTGACGTCGTGCGTCGTCTAGAGTAGTGTGACGTTGTGCGTCGTCTAGAGTAGTGTGACGTCGGGCGTCGTCTAGAGTAGTGTGACGTCGGGCGTCGTCTAGAGTAGTGTGACGTCGTGCGTCGTCTAGAGTAGTGTGACGTGCGTCGTCTAGAGTAGTGTGACGTTGTGCGTCGTCTAGAGTAGTGTGACGTCGGGTGTCGTCTAGAGTAGTGTGACGTCGGACGTCGTCTAGAGTAGTGTGACGTCGTGCGTCGTCTAGAGTAGTGTGACGTTGTGCGTCGTCTAGAGTAGTGTGACGTCGGGTGTCGTCTAGAGTAGTGTGACGTCGGGCGTCGTCTAGAGTAGTGTGACGTCGTGCGTCGTCTAGAGTAGTGTGACGTTGGGCGTCGTCTAGAGTAGTGTGACGTCGGGCGTCGTCTAGAGTAGTGTGACGTCGGGCGTCGTCTAGAGTAGTGTGACGTCGTGCGTCGTCTAGAGTAGTGTGACGTCGTGCGTCGTCTAGAGTAGTGTGACGTTGTGCGTCGTCTAGAGTAGTGTGACGTCGTGCGTCGTCTAGAGTAGTGTGACGTCGTGCGTCGTCTAGAGTAGTATGACGTCGTGCGTCGTCTAGAGTAGTGTGACGTCGTGCGTCGTCTAGAGTAGTGTGACATAGTTGTATGTCGTCGAAAATAGTATATCATAGTTGTGCGTCCTGTAGAGTCCTTTAACGATCTCGTACTCGTCTAGAGTCGTCTGACGTCGTGCACCGTCTTGAGTCGTATACGACATTATCATGCGTCGTCTTGGGTCATATACGACGTTATCATGCGTCGTCTTGAGTAGTATACGACGTTATCATGCGTCGTCTTGAGTCGTATGCGACGTTATCATGCGTCGTCTTGAGTCGTATACGACGTTATCATGCGTCGTCTTGGGTCGTATACGACGTTATCATGCGTCGTCTTGAGTCGTATACGACGTTATCATGCGTCGTCTTGGGTCGTATACGACGTTATCATGCGTCGTCTTGAGTCGTATACGACGTTATCATGCGTCGTCTTGAGTCGTATACGACGTTATCATGCGTCGTCTTGGGTCGTATACGACGTTATCATGCGTCGTCTTGGGTCGTATACGACGTTATCATGCGTCGTCTTGGGTCGTATACGACGTTATCATGCGTCGTCTTGAGTCGTATGACGTAGTTGCGTGTTATCTAAGAGTCGTCTGACCGTGTCGTGCGACGCTCTTTAAGGCTAAAGTGCAATCCAAAAAGCTATTTAAAATATTGTATGGAAAGAAAATGTCTGCAGTTGTATGTTGAGGACTCAGTAGTCAGGGAGAGGCTGACGTTCACTGACGTCTACTCTTCATTTCCTATAGAAGGAAAAAAAAACTCAGCCGCGACGATCATTCAGTTAAGAGTGACCAATAAACTAATGCATTAATCGTGTTTAGATATAAAAGTGTGGCGCCCCGACAAGAAGACAAACAGGGAGGTTCATCAAGTAAATGAAAGGGTCGTGTCAAGGCTCTTGAAGCCTCCCCGAGTTGGTTCCGATTCCCCGCTCCGCTTCTCGGCCGATGCGAATTTGTTAGACCACAAGAGGGTCGTAAGGTAATTGTGTGTGTTTATTGCAAACAAAGCGCCAAGTCGATGTGTTTGAAGAAAGCTCAATTGTGTTGATTGGGAATATGTTTGATGGAGTTCGAAGCTGGAGCGTGAATAAAGAATTTATGACTCGCTGGCTGCTATTCTTTCCCGAAACGTGACTCGCCTGTGGTGGGTCGTGTCTGTGTCAGCGCCAGCTGCTGTTTACACACACCCGCGGCACCACACAACACCCAAGTTGGAGATGCAAATGATGCGGTTCGCAGACTTCAAGGAGGAGAGACTGACGCTTCGCTGTTCCAAACTTAAGGTTCGGATTCACAACCTATCTTTTATGTATGCAAATTGTTAATCTGATGTTTTGATTTCATATTTTTGAAGGTTTGATGAGCTGAGCTTGGAACTCAATTACGATATAAAAAATCATAATTTATATAAATAGATGTATTTGGGTACCAGTTTGTGTTAATAAAGTGGATTCAGGAGGTGGAGAGGTCATGTGACCTTCACTGGTCACTGCTACAGGTGAAGTAGCAGTGACCAGTGAAGGTCAAGTTATCGGTGAAGTAGCAGTGACCAGTGAAGGTCAAGCAGAACTGGAAGGGTGAGAAGGAGGGCCGGGATGGGGGAGAAATAGAGCTAGGAGGAGAATAACGATAGGGAGAAGGCGGGGAAAAAAATATGGCCTGAATCCCAAACCCAAAGAATAATGATAGACAAAACCCTAAAATCGGGGAAAAAAATTAAATACAGTTTCTCATACCATATACAGCTGTATCATTGCACGTGAGATCCTCTCCTTGCACACAAGACCTCAAGATTCCCCGTATTATATAATGCTCCCATGTGTGAGCCATAATAATACCTGGTGTGGCCGTGCCCACTCTACCCTCACTACATGGTAGTCTCCTGGAAAGATCGCTTCTCTCATAATACTTGTCAATTTCGCTTCTATTATTGATAATGTGCAGTTGTTTTTGTGCCTCCCGATCTTGTAACTCTTCTCATTTATTTGCAATTCCGTTTGTATTTGTGTAGCTTACTTCAGCTTTGCTGTGATTTTGCCAGAGGATAGTCGTGTCTCTTGCTTCATGTCCCTTTCTGATAGGAGAAAGGGTGCATGTTGATCTGTCACAGATGGAAGAGGTCGACGGAAGGGAATCATGGCTGCTCACTGGGTGCTGTCTGTAAAGAGTGAGCATCGCCAGAATCACAGTCTCCTAAGTCTTAACATTGGTCATTTGTTTAAGATCTTCTAGCATGTTCAGGTCCCACAATTAATGACGGAATATTATATAGCTGACCTCTGAAAATAACAATAAATATACCTTTATAATGAGTTAAGATTCGCTTTATATCTTTCTTCCCTACCCTTCACCACCTTCCCTACCCTTCACCACCTTCCCTACCCTTCACCACCTTCCCTACCCTTCACCACCTTCCCTACCCTTCACCACCTTCCCTACCCTTCACCACCCTCCCTACCCTTCACCACCTTCCCTACCCTTCACCACCTTCCCTACCCTTCACTACCTTCCCTACCCTTTACCACCTTCTCTATCCTTCATCATCTTCTCTATCCTTCACCACCTTCCCTACCCTTCACTACCTTCCCTACCCTTTACCACCTTCTCTATCCTTCATCATCTTCTCTATCCTTCACCACCTTCCCTACTCTTCACCACCTTCCCTACCCTTCACCACCTTCCCTACCCTTCACCACCTTCCCTACCCTTCACCACCTTCCCTACCCTTTACCACCTTCTCTATCCTTCATCATCTTCTCTATCCTTCACCACCTTCCCTACCCTTCACCACCTTCCCTACCCTTCACCACCTTCCCTACCCTTCACCACCTTCCCTACCCTTCACCACCTTCCTTACCCATCACCACATTCTCTATCCTTCTGCCCCCAATAATGCCTGTATCCAAGCCTGTCCCCCACCAACACCGGAAATAGGGTGGTGCATTTTTCACTGGGAAATTATCGGGAAACATAATAGGCTCCTGTGTCAGGAAGTTCCCCCATAACACTTGTGTCAGTGCCCCCCCCACACACCTGTGTCAGTGCCTGCCCCCCACCCACACTTGTGTCAGTCCCCCCCCCACATACCTGTGTCAGTGCCTGCCCCCCCACACACCTGTGTCAGTGCCTACCCCACCCACATCTGTGTCAGTGCCCCCCCCCACACCTGTATCAGGGAGCGACCCTTCCCTCCCCCCCACTCCACCACACTTGTGCCAGAGGAGAAAAACCTGCCAGAAAGAGCAACACACCAGCCATGTGTTGCACCAATTACCAACACACGATTCACCTGGTTTCAATTTTTTTTGGCCCAGTAAGTTTCCATTTTTCTTTTCACATTCCAGCTTTTGATGGAGGAAGTAAGCAAGTACAGCTTCTCCCTGCAGCGAGTCACTTCCCACGCCAGAGCGCAGCATCTGGGAGCTATATTTGGAGGGGAAACTGTCTGCCGAGGAGGAGGAGGAGGAGGAACTTCGACTCCTGCTAGCTCCTCCTTTGAGTCTTCCTCCGCTAGGATAATGTCTCACATCAAAAGCAATGGTGGTGAATATTTCATAAGTCTTGAGGATAGCGTTAAAGAGTATGGCTGATTCTCCTCCTTCCTTCCTTCCTTCCTTCCTTCCTTCCTTCCTTCCTTCCTTCCTTCCTTCCTTCCTTCCTTCCTTCCTTCCTTCCTTCCTTCCTTCCTTCCTTCCTTCCTTCCTTCCTTCCTTCCTT